TTGTTTAGCTGTGTTTGGCTCCACCATGACAGGCAGTATTTGTAGAATTAATGCATTGTGTTACTCACTGTATACTCTGGCTCTCCTGCTTGTGAGTAGCGTCTCCTACACAGCCCCATGACCCCACCTCTAGCCTCATACACTTCAATATCCCTCCTTACAGTTTCTTGCCTTTTATCCTTCTCCAGCAGTTTCCCTATTTCCTGGGTGCCATGTTCATTCTGCATTCTGTGCCTGGCTATCCATAGAGTCTTGGAGGTTCTCTTCCACCAATTATCTAGTTCCTGACACTGTATAATAGAACACACTGTCCACAGAATATAGCCTAACCCTCTGGCATGCTCCCACCCTCAGTCCAGATAGTTCTTTGCTTTTTGTATTATCTCTAATTATCTCTTCCTCACCAAACTCACCGGACAGGTAAGACCATTGAGAGCAAAGAGTATAGAACCTTCTTAGGGACAATTTATCCAGAAAGAAAGATATCAAATCTTAGTAGTTTATCTGGTTCAGTCCTGGATCTGGTGGGCAAAGCTAAAGGGCTCCTGATGCCTAGCTGTATGGCATGGATATGTGAAGAGAGAGAAAAGGCTGGACTCAGTCAGCCAGAGGAAGTCCCATAAACAGGGCAAGACTCTGTATATTAGAAGAACAACAAACCCAGAAAAGGTTGTTCCAAACCTGAGGGATTGTAAGGAAGAAAGTGAAGGAGTGACTGACATGTGGTCATCACATTGGCCCTCATGAAACTCTCAGTGTTATGACACAAATTAGGAAAGTATCTTGTCTGAAACTTGACCCAACACTCCACTCTCTCTCCAACTGGGCTGGAGGCAGCCTATCCTGTACAGAATGCCTCTTTTGCATGGGAGGACAGAAACCCCACTGAAATATCTCTCTCCTTATAGCTTTCCCTAAATGAAGTAAAATGAAGGTGCATATCCTTGACATTGACCTTGTGAATAAAGTCCCTACTTATTTGTGTTGTATTTGCAACTTCCTTAAAGACTTGTGCCAGCTGTACAAAGCTTACATGTATACTACATGGCCTAGAAATATTATGAAGTTAAGATTAAAACATACATGCATAATTTACAGGCCATTATCTGTTTTAGTTTATTTCCACAAAATATGTACGAAGTATGATAAAATATTAAATTTGATCATTATTTACACACTTACAGGCCATATGGTGAGTTCTGTTTGAGAGATTTGCAACCAAAATCAACATGCCATTTCAAATAGCTTTATAAGATTATCTTTGAGGTAATTAATGGCTCAATGAGAAGATTAGTTACTGAAAAAGCAGTAGACCTGAGCTTGAATCTGCTCACACACATAAATAAAGTTGGACAGAACTGTTCATATTTATAATCCTATGCTGTTGAGTGAATAGACAGGAGTATTTCTAGTGCTTGCTAGCTGTGATCCTATCTACAGCATCTGTGAGAGACCCTGTCTGAAAGAAAGGAAAAAGGGTGATACATCATGGTATGCCATGCCCTCTTTTAGCTCTCATGTTTTAATTGTCAGGCACTTACACACACACACACACACACACACACACACACACACACACACACACACACACACACACACACACACGATAAAATTACCTGAAATACATTTTACATTACTGCAACAGTCTCATAACCAACTTCTATTACTACTGCAATAAGGTCAAGTATTTCAAACATATTGTAAAATCCTTGAGATTCTAATCACAAAGGTTGTGATCTTCTGTGGCTTTCTCATATACTTCCTTACTTCTAATATACATAGCATTTCAGTTGTTGGCCTTAACCCTTAATTTCACCAATAAAGCTGCCAGACCACAAGAAACTTAATATTAACAGAAAAGATTTTAGGAAGTAGAGTAGTTTATATGCGATTTTTACTTCATGAAAGGTCATATTCCTAGCATCTTGAATTTTCAGGTTACTTATACTTTGCTTAATTTAAATTCCCTTCCCCAAAAGGGAAGGGAGAAATGTTGTAACTGAATTACAGTTTCAAAAATTAAAACGGGGGTCAGAATCCCCTTCTCCCTGAAATCCAGGTGTGCTGTCTCAGTTTTTTTTTTTTTTTTTTTAAGTTGTCGCAAACTAGAGTCATTTGGGAAGAGGAAACTTCCATTCAGAAAATGCTGCCACCAGATTCACCCGTAGGCAAGCCTGTGGTGCATTTTCTTCATTGATGCTTGATATGTGAGGGCCCAGCTCACTGTAGGCAGTGCCACCCCTATGGTGGTGTTACTGGGTGCTATAAGAAAGTAGGCTGAGCGAGCCTTGGTGAGTAAGCATCACTCCTTCATGGCCTTTGCATCCTCTCCTGACTCTGTGTTCTTACCCTGTTCAGTTCCTGTCCAGAGTTCCCCCAGAAACTGAGTGTGAAGAGAGAATTGTATGCTGAAATAAACTCTTTCCTCTACAAGTTGTTTATGATCATAGTGTTTGGTCACAGCAATAGAAACCCTAAATAAGACACTGTGTAAACTATTAAGGAGCATGGGATTATGTCATTTGCAGAACATAGATGTAAGTGAATATACTTGCCATGTTAAATGTCTTATGTTCATTGAAAAAGACAAGTCCCAGGTAATTTCTTTCATTTGAAGGTCTAGGTTTTTATGTAAAAATAAAATTACATATGTGTATATGATGTGAACAAAGTAAAGGGAACTAATGAGATGGGAGGAGAAGGCGGTGGTGTGGGTACAGTCTTATATACAAGTGCTCTTCTGAGAGCACTACACTGTGTGATAGGGGACTATACTATGCCAATTGAAAAGGATATATTTCTTATTCTGACTTCTGTCCAGTGTTACCTTTAAATTTGAGACGTATGTTAATTTTGCTCTTTTTTGTGTGGTAATTCCATAAATGTTGGTACTTGATAGTTGATAATATCATTGTTGTCAGCTATACCCAAATTGATTGTTTCCCAATTGCTCTACTAACTCAACATTGAACTTAAATTTTTGGAATTTTTGATTGGTTCTTTCACATTGTACTTTGGATGAATTCTTAGATAATGTGAATTTGGAAGGTAGTTCCTTGCTTCCTTTACTTCTTTCGTCGTGACTTGCAGAGTTGTGTTACTATGTACAGTTGTCTCAGTATTTCCTTAGAATTTTTCCCAGACTCCTTAGCACCAATATCTGAAACTAATCAAGCCCTTATATTACACTGTGTCTTATAGGGCTATAACACATACATGTTCTTCATGCTCCTTAGAACCCTGTAGAATACTGACAATACTCAGCACAGTATAACAAAATATAATACATGATATGCTATACTTTAGGGAATAATGTGCACACAACATAGGCAAGAATTTTCTCAGATATGCTCATCCTAGTAAAATTTCCCAAGTAGAATGGATACGTTAGCATGGATCATAATTAGATCATAAATTCTGAGTCAACGTATGTGGATTGGTGGAGGTTGAAATAGATTTGAGACATGTGCCTCAGGAAGTATCAATTGTTCCCTGCTTTAAAACAGGAAGTGACAGTATTCTCTTGCTTAATCATAAAGCTTCTTTTATTAGAAAAGATAGGTTGGATCAGTGCATAATGACTTTTTCAGCCAAGCCTGCTGACCTAGCTGCAGTTGAATCCCAGAACTCACATGGTGAAAGGAGAAAACCAGACCCCTGAAGAGCTCCTCCTAAGTCCACCCGACACACATGCATGGTTTCCTCCAACCAGAATAAATGCAGTGTGTATTTTGAAAGATTTATTTACTTTCATGCAGTGAAAGATTCTTCCACATTGATTTAGATTCCCATTGCCTAGGAAACCAAAAGTTCTGTTCCTCATTTCTCTTCAGTTCTTCTCTTTGCCTTAATTTGTATGACAGTAATATAACCCACAGTTCTGGAATAAGCAGAAAGCAAACCATTCTTAACACTTTACCTGGCTCTTAAGATTCTGTTCCTTATACTGGAATGCCTTGCCCGCCTTATTGCAAGGGAGGTGCTTAGTCCCATGGCAACTTGATGTGCCATGCTTTGTTGATACCCATGGGAGGCCTGCCCCTTTCTGAACAGAGAAACAGAGGAGGAGTGGGTTGGGGGGAAAAATTAGATAGTCACATATGCTAGCTACATAGACTTCTATACACATCAAGCAAGGATCCCTGGAGTAATTAAAAACAATATCATGTGTTGACAAAGTTACTTTCTGTCTTTTTAGTGGTACATAAAAATTCAGACACTTCATCATCGTCCAGAGAACAGGGAGAGCTACCTGTGATGATGGTGGAGGTAAGACTGCCTTTCCTCTCTCTAATATAAAAAAGTTACTTTGTCCCCTTACATTGTAGTGGATATGAAATTTAATTAACAAAAGTCAGGTGCATCGTGGGTTAGCTCAGGGAGAAAAGGAAATGGAATTGTACCAGCCTGCTCCTGACTGAACTGAACATAAAAGTGTGCAGTGCCATTTATCACAGTTTGTGTGAGAGGATAGTTTCTCCTGAAGAAAAGGGTTCCTCTTTAGATGCATGTATAATTTTCACTCAGAAGTTGACAGCCACTTCTGGTTCCTAAAATCTTGATGCAGTTTGATTATGTTCCACAGAGGAAACTGTGGAGAAAGTTTCTCAGTTTCAGCATGGGGATGTTGAGTGGTAAGACTTTTACTGCATGAGGATTAGTGTAAATAATTGAGGCCCAGCTGTAGGAGGAATTATCTCACAGTCAAGTTATAAAGATGCAGTGTGGCTTAGGGAACATTCAGCAGAGACCAAACAAATAGTGTTAATTTGGCCTTTGAACCAGCAAAAGTGGGAATGGCACAAACTATAGAGTCCCAGTTCTTCTGTGACATTGTCACATAATATACTAACACACAGGACTCTTGCCCATTTTGATTGGCATCATACTATGTCGACATGTGTTCTAAAGACCCATGTAAACAGAATTCATCATGACCTGTGCCTCAAACTGTTTTCTTTCCTTTAAATTTCAGGTGGAGTCTAGAAAACACGGTATGTATTATGAAATCTCCTTGTTAAGGCACATTTTAGAAAAGTATAGTTACTGGGTATCCTCATGTCTAATGCACCACTGTGATCTAAGCCACCTATAAGGAAGAACTTGGATTTTGGTTTTTAAAAAAAGTAGTACCTGAAGTTAAAAAAACGGGTTGTCTACTGTCACTGGATTCAGATCCGGTCTCTTTAGATTGTGTGAGATGTTCTATACCAGGCTGTGTCTAAATCTGTTTTTCCCCAAGATAGGTATCCTGATTACCCAGTCAAATGTCCTGTGACCAACTAATGAATTAACAAATTAGGATGCACACTTTACCTACAGTATATGTGTTCAAAGCCCATTACATGTGGTACATTTTTTTGTTTGTGTGCTACTCTACGGAAGAATAAACCAGGGCACAGAGGTAAGTGATGAGGCTGTTCATGCAGATCAAGAAACATTTCATAGCCCAAGCACATAGTAATCCCTAACATCTAGCATCCCAGTATCTGCCTTCAATAGGTCAAAACTGCAGAGATCAGGACCCTGTAGTGACTACCACAGAGGGCAAATGCCCAGGGCATTACTTCTCATCTACCTACAGACATTCAGAAGAATGAAAGGTTAGAAAGCTCACAGGCTTCTAGTCAGATCAGCGCTTCTGAGAATGGGAGAGAGACACTGCATGGGGAGATGAGGCAGGGGTTTTTCACTTAGGCTTTTGCTATACATGGCTCTTTCCAGTATTCTCTATTGTCATGTTGCCATGAATTTAGACTTTACCTACACAGTCCATGTGTTGCTTAACTGATTCAGTGAACCTCCTGAAGCTCCATTCTCACTCTGATGACTGTACCTGGAAACAAGCCATCAGATCAAATGGAAAAACATACAACAATTGTTAGTTTTTTCTTTTTCTGTCACGAGGCTGACATGACTCCCTGTTATAATGCATTCCCAGTTCCTGAATTCTTAAGGGAAATTTGTCAGGAGCAAGCTGTTGCCCCTCAGGATGTGGAAGGACCTCCCGTCCCTGAAGGACCTTCTGCAGAAACAACACCAATAAAAATGGAAGGTGCTGTGGGAATTCCATAATTCTGTCCAATTGTGTATACTGTTGCTAATTATTTTCTTTCATATATAAATCTATAGAGAAGCTTAAGACTATTTTTCCTATGTAGAATAATACTAATATGTCTAAGTCTTCAATGTATATACAACCACAGAATTTAAAATGCATCTGATGTCACCTTGGGCTCTCATTCAGTAGCATGAACCGGTGGAAACTGAGGCTCATCTTGTATGCGTCAGGGTGGCTTCACCTTGTGTAGATAGGAATGGGTGAACCACCCTCTCTCATACTTTCTCTCACAAGTGGGTGATGTAGATGGAGTAGAGCTGATGTTCCTCAAAGTGACCTGGTAAAGTTCCAACGTCTCATGACTGAGGGTGAAATTCACCTTAGATAACAGTGTTCCTGGTTTGATCCAATGAGCAAGGATCCAGGGGTGGTCATGTTACACACTGTGTTTAGAGGGTCAGGGAGTGGGAAAGATATAAATAAGGACAAGGAAAATGGGAGGGGGATGTCCTTTTTTCTCTTTCAATGGCACAGTGGTAAGCAGAGTCTGGGGAAAGTGTACTTTGCCATTTGAAGACAGTATTTCCCAGGACGTTACTCTTTTTTCAAGGCTTGCTTTTTAAAATGTAATGTCTTGAATATTTTCCTTTTTTTTTCTTGAAAACTTATACAATATATTCTGATCTTGATTTCCCCTTCTCCATCTCTTCCCAGATTCTCCCCACCTCACCACCCATCCACTATCTTTATCTCTCACTGTAGAAAAGAAACAGGCAAATTAAAAAAGAAAACCAATATATAATCAGTGTAAAAGCACAACAAATACACACACACTCAAAAAAGCAACATAAAAACACCAAATCAGAAACCATAATATACTTGCAAAAGACCAGTAAGACTTTAAAAATGCCCCCCAAAAGCAATATGAGACCCCAAAAGTCTACAAAACGGTTAAGTATGTTGTGTGTTGGCCATCTACAGCATGCATTGGGTCTACCCTTAAGTGCGGTTAATATACCTAATGAGACTCTATTGGAGAAAACTGATTTTTCCCTTGAAAGAGTTTGCCAATGAAGATAGCTTCTTGGTTAGGAATGGGAGTTCCTGTCCACTTCTCCCTCTCAACACTGGGGCCCAGTCTGGCTGGAACCTGTACATGCTGCCATAGTCTCTGTGAGTTCATACATGTGTCAGTTCTGTTATATCTAGAAGACAATATTTCCTTGATGTCATCCAACACTCTGGCTCTTTCAATCTTTCTACTTCCTCTTCCACATACCTCCCTAAAACTGGGGTGAGGGAGTGTTAATGAAGACATTTAGGATTGAGTATGAGAATATCTTTTCATCCTGTGACACTACCAAATTCCTAAGCTTTTGCTTGTGGTTACTAGCTCTTCATTTTAATTGTGTCTGTCTGAATTATTTTTTCTCAGTTGTGATGAAAACAAACTAAAGAATAATTGGCTTGTTTATTCCATGGAGTCTGAGGTTACAACTGATAATTGCAGGGCAGCCATGTATAGAGGCAGGAGCTTATGGTAAAGAAACAACACCTGTTGAAAGCCAAGATGAATGAATGCTTGGGCTCAGCTCACTTTCTTCTTTTTATATAGTACTTTATCCCTTCTGGATAGTCAGTTCTCTAGAGTTCTCTAGAGTAACATAATGTATAGAATGAGTTTCTCTATACATAGACATAGAAGAAGGATCTATTAGAATGACTTACAGGCTACAGTCCAGCAAATCTAACAGTGACTGACTAGCAGTGGAAAGTAAAAGAATCCAGAAGTTGCTATGTCCATGATGCTGGATGTCTCAGTAGACACTGGAATACTGAAGAAATAGGCTGTAATGCCAGTGAAGGAATGCACTTATTAACAAGACCAGAACAATCAGGCAAAGAGCAAAAGCTTCCTTCTTCCATGTTCTTATATAGGCTTCCAGCAGGAGGTGTGGGCTGGATTAAAGTGTGGCTTCCTGCCTCAAGTTCTGAGTTAAACACATGTGTCTTCATGCCTCAATTGTTTGTCTTTTCCCAGCTCAAAAGATCTAGATTAAAGATGTGTCTTCCTACATCCAAATTTAGAAGTGGGTCTTCCTACTTCAACTTAAGAAAAAAATTCCTCACAAATATGTCCTCCATTTTGGGGACTTAGTACATTCCAGATGCAAACAAGTTGGCAAGCAATAACTATCACACCTTCCTAAGCAATAATGCCAAGAAGAGTTCGTTAGTCGTCCCACCTCAGCTAACCTAATAGATATAATCTCACACTTCCATGCCGAGTACTGGGTATCATCCAATAGACTGTTTGACTGTTGAGATTCACCATGACAGTGCCCATGAAGTATTGTGTTCACTTTGAGTACTAACATGTGATAGAGCCAATCTGTCTGGTGAAGGATAACATTCTCTCTTATACTCACAGAAACTTGTAGATGATAGTCTAGTGTAGGCAGAGTTTCTCTGTGTGCTAGCAGCTGCTTCATAAAAACCACATTGAGCTTTAACATAAATTATAAATGTTTACCCAATAGCTCAGGCTTGTTACTAACTTGCTCTTACAACTTAACCCATTCCTATTAATGTATATTCTCCCATGAGGCTTAGTGCTTTTACCTCTATCCAATTTGGTATGTCTGACTCGTTCTGCATCTGGCTGGAAACTCCTCTGACACCACCCTTCCATATCCCATCATTCTCAATTTGGCTTTCCCACCTAACTTTTACCTGTTCAGCTATTGGCCATTCATCTTGCTTATTAAACCAATCATAGCAACATATATTCACACAGTGTACAAAAGGATTATTCAAGAGCAGTCTAGCAGTTAGGGTCCAATGAAGCAGGCAGAACAGAGCCCTTCCATTTCATCCTTCAGGACTTGTAGCAGTCCATGCATAGTCCTCTGTTCACTTTTAACAGCTACTTCACGTGGCATCAACAGGGTAGAGTGTTGGCTAAAATGGCTGCTTAGTCTGACAGAACTGCCACATCTGCAATATACTGGCAAGGAAGGGCCTAGTGTTAATGTGTAGCTCATTCCCAGCCTATGCGCCTCATCCTGGACTGCATGCAGGATGACTGAGGTGTAGAGGAGGTTAGAGACTTGTCCTTCATCCTTGAGCCTCTGACCTTATGCGTGAGGAGGGATCTGACCTCTGACCCCTGCCTTGGCTCTTTTTCCTGCATTCTTGGTTCTGATTCCAAGATGGAGAGGGTGCCTTAGGAAGTTCCCATAAGCTAATACCCATGTTCCCAGGGCTGAAGGACATGAGCCATTGGGGATCAACCTTCTTGACACACATCTTGCCACATTCTGTGATTGTCCTTAGTGTTTTGTGTATTTGTGGATTTCTTCTGGGAATAGCAAGTTGTCCCACAGAGATCCAGGACCAGTCTCCACCCCCATAATCTTCCATTTCTGTCTTCTCCAGCCACTTTCTCCTGCTTCTGGAGTGCCATGTGGACTCTGTACTCTGTACCTGGTAATACATCAATGTGTGACAATTCCCTTATACCAGGAATCTTTTTCGTGATGTTTCATACTATAAAACATTTCTCAGAAGAATCCCCAGAATGAGTCTCTATGTGTCATGTCTTTTATATTCCATAATTTTCTCTCCCTCCTTCTCTAAACTTATCAGTCACAAGAGAAGAGTCTGGAACACAAAACTTCTAGTGGACTACATTTGCAGAATGACATTTGAATCTTACTAGGTCATCTGGCTCATCCCTTTACCTGATGGGCATAGGTGGAAGGCTGGTGGTGAGCAACTGAGGCACTTGAATGTGTAAAGACAGAGGAGTTAACCAGAGTCAGCTTGGAGCAGTCACATAAGCAGAGTGACACAAGACACAGTAAAAAACAAACAAACAAAAAAAAAAACAACAGCTAAGTGATCCATGCAACTACGTGAGCCAGGCAGTGGTGGTACATGCTTTAATCCCAGCGCTCAGGAGGCAGAAGCAGGCAGATCTTGTGAGTTCGAGGCCAGCCTGGTCTACAGAGTGTGTTCCAGGAAAGGCGCAAAGCTACACAGAGAAACCCTGTCTCAAAAAAAAAAAAAAAAAAAAAACCACAAAACAAAACAAAAATAAAACCAACTAAGTGAAACCACACACATAGACACACCAAGACACACCCAGGGATACACACACACACACACACACACACACACACACACACACACACACACACACACGGAAGAACATTGTCTGAAATCTTAGGAAGAGTGACAACAGTAAAGTCACTGACATGTGATGGTCATTTGGACCAAACACCTGAAGCTGTGACTCCAATTAGTGGAATATCTGCTCCCTACAATGACCTTGTCTCGAATTTACCTGCATCTATATACTGGTGGCAGCCTCGTGTTCACAGGCCCTCATTTTGCATGGAAAGGATCACCTCTGAGAATGCCTAGCCTTTGTGCCTTCTCTAAGAGAAGTCTCATGTCTTTGGTCTTCACCTTGCCAAAAATGCACAACTTCTAATCATTATTTAGGAGTTTTGGTAAGTTTAAAGGGCTTGCAGATATATATGTATATATGTTTATATATATGTTTCACAAAGCAGAAGTGTTATAAAGACCAGAAAACCATGTTCATAAACACATGTAGATTATCCATTGTGCATTGTTCTTCCATAAAATATGCACCACATATGATGAATTATTTCAATTTATCTCATTATTCATACTTACCAAGATTGCATCATTTTTACCTTTGAGAGATAATGTAATGGGACATGAACATTCACTTTTAAATAGCTGTTTAAAGTTAAATACATGGTGTACAGATGCTCAGAAGGTGATTAGACTGTGCACACACATCGGTACCCTGTTTTGTTTTTTAATTTTTTTTAAATTTTATTTTATGATTTAATTTAATTTTGCATATCAGCCACGGATTCCCTTGTTCTCCCCCCTCCAGCCCCCCAACCCACCCTCCATTCCCATCTCCTTCCAGGCTGAGCCAAGTGTCCCTGCATAAGCCCCAGGTTCCAGACAGCCAGCTCATGCACTGAGGACAGGTCCCGGTCCCACTGCCTGGATGCCTCCCAAACAGATCAAGCTAATCAACTGTCTCACTTATCCAGAGGGCCTGATCCAGTTGGGGGCTCCTCAGCTATTGGTTCATAGTTCTTGTGTTTCCATTCATTTGGCTATTTGTCCCTGTGCTTTTTCCAACCTTGGTCTGAACAATTCTCGCTCATACAAACCCTCCTCTTTCTCGCCAATTGGACTCCTAGAGCTCCACCTGGGGCCTGGCTGTGGATCTCTGCATCCAGTTCCCTCAGTCATTGATGAGGTTTCTAGCATGACAATTAGGGTGTTTGGCCATCCGATCACCAGAGTAGGTCAGTTCGGGCTGTCTCTCGACCATTGCCAGTAGTCTATTGTGGAGGTATCTTTGTGGATTTCTGTGGGCCTCTCTAGCACTTTGCTTCTTCCTATTCTCATGTGGTCTTCATTTATCATGGTCTCTTATTCCTTGTTCTCCCTCTCTGTTCTTGATCTAGCTGAGGTCTCTCACTACCCTAAGCTCTCTTTCCCTCGACCCTTGCCCTTCATTACCCCCACTCACGTCCAGGTTGTTCATGTAGATCTCATCCATTTCTCTGTCATTGGGCGATCCCTGTGTCTTTCTTGGGGTCCTGTTTTCTAGGTAGCCTCCCTGGAGTTGTGAGCAGCAGTCTAGTCATCTTTGTTTTACATCTAGTATCCTGCTATGAGTGAGTACATACCATGTTTGTCTTTCTGAGTCTGGGTTACCTCACTCAGGATGATTTAATCTCCAGTGCACATATAAAAAAGGTCAGACAATTCTATGCACACCCCTAACCCCAGAGTATTCAGGGGCAGAGAAGGAGGATTCTGGGTCTTGCTGACTATCAGTCTGGGTTTACCCTCAATGAAAAACCTTGATTGAAGGAAGGAAGACAAAAGTGAAAGACCAGGATTGTTATAATTTACATTTTTAATTCTTTGAGAATTTAATGTGACTACTGTGTTTACATCATTCTATCCCACCTTCTCCTCAATCCAACTCATCCCAAGTCCCCCCTTCAAATATATGCGTTCTTCTCTGATAACTATTATACTTACATAAACAGATGAGTTCATTTAATGATGCTCTTATATATACCTATGTGTGCTCTTGTATGTTTAGTGCAGTTAGTTCAGGATTAGATAACTTATGAGGAGGCTTACCCCTGGAGAAAATTCATCTCTCTGCAACCTCTCTATAGCTCCTGGTCTAGGGTGCCATACCAGTAGGGGCTGTCATGATGCAGGTCCTATTTGGGGAACTTTGTTGAGATTTAATGGGCTATATCATCCTTGCCATGTCTCGAAGACACTATCTAGCAGCATGTGTCCTGTCCCTCCGGTTCTTATAGTCTTTCCAATCCTCTACCAAAATTTCCCTGAGCCTTAGGTATAGGGGTTATCTTATGCATCTACAATTTGGGATCCCACAATTTGTCTTCTGACATCTACATGCAAACTGAAGCATACCAGTGGTCACTCCAAAGAGGACACTTGTGAAGATTTGTATTTAATCTTCAGTTGGATAGGTTATTTTATGTTGCTTTAGATCCCCCACTGTCTGGAAATACAACAATTCTGTTACTCATATCTCTCCAGGCCTTTTTCTGTTTTAATTTCCTTCAAGGGAAGACAGTTCAGCAGCTGCCCAACCATCCTGTTCAGTAGGTCTAGTCACATGTACTAAGTCCATGCACTTTTAGCCACATCAAGCAAGAATGCTGCATAAGTATTAAGCAGGACCATGAGCTGACAGTCACTTTCTGTCCCCTTTAGTGTCACCTGAAGAGACACAAGTGAAGGTGGAGGAGGTAAGGGGGTCTTTCTTTTCTCTAAGATAGAAAGGTTATTCTAGTGATCTTACGTTTCAGTGGATATCCCATTGAACAACGAAACTGAGCAGGGCATCATGAGTTAATTTAGGAAGAGGACAAAGTGGAATTGTACCATCTTGGTCCAGACTGAATCAAATCTTCCAGTGTCAAGTGTCACAGTCTGTATGAGGGGGCCTTTTCTTCTGGAGAAAAAAGGCTCCTCTTTAGATAAATGTGTGTAATATTGACTCAGAAATTAACAGGCATATCATCTATTAAGATGTGTGTTTTTCCTTAAGGGACCTCTCCCAGCCTGTCATCTAGATGGAGTTTGGATTGTTCCCCCAAAAGTCTATGTGGTGGGAGGCTTCATGCATCCAATATTTGAATATTTAGGGTATAATACATTTAAAACATGTGCACTCATGCAAATAATTGGAGGCCCCCTCATAGAAGGAATTAATCTCCCAGGGCAGGTTGTTAAGTTGGTCTGCCATGCTGGGATGTAGCTTAGGGAGCCCTCAGTGAAGGCCAAACAGAAGAGGTGCTCTGCTCTCACTTTGAGTCAGCATTAGTGTGTGATGTATTAGTTTTTGGCACAAAGTACGTAGCCCTGGTTTTCTGTGACATCATCACATAATGTATGAATACAGTCTTTTTTTTAATGTCTTTTTCCTATCCTGCTTTACACTATGCTGTGTCATAGGGTGAACCAAAGAGCTATGCAAACAGACTCTGTATGACCTGAATCTCAAAGTGTTTTCTTTCCTTTCAATTACAGGTGGAGAGTCAAAGTTTTAGTTGTTGTATGTATTACAGAATCTCTCAAAACACATTTTAGAATTGTTTAAATGCTGGCCGTCTTTTCTCTGGCACACCAATGTGATATAAGACTCCTATTGGGAGTGAAAATTGGGAGTTTAAGCGGGGGAAAAGGCAATGCCCTAAGTAATGAGTCCTACCCTTGTGTCTACAGTCACTGCTTTCAGTTCTGATGCCTCTAGTTATTTTGGCATTTTGTGTACCAGACAGGGTCTAAATAGATTTTTTCCCAATACAGTTATCCCTATGATAGAGTCCACTTTCTAGTGACAAATTTGTCAATTCAAAAAGCAAGATACACATTTTACCTTAAAAAAAAAGTGTCCAAAGCTCACTATACAGATGTGTGATAGACTTGGTTTTGTTTTGGGTTTTTTTTTTCCGCATCTCTCTGGAGAATGATAGGGATAGGTCATCAGTCTTTCCAGTGATAGAGCTCAAGAAGTACTTTTTATTTTGTCAAGGGCTCAGGAATACCTATGTGAGAGACCCAGCTTCCCAGCATCTGCCTGCAATAACCCAGCCCTAGGTAAACACCAGACAATGATGAGCACCAAGTGGGCAGAAAGCCGGGCAGTGCTCTTTAGCTGCCTGCAGACACTCATAAGTATGATAGATGGAAAGTCCATATGTTTGGTCAGATCAGAGCATTTGACTATAGGAGACACTGCACTGAAAAATAGGTCGGATATGTGTGATAACTGGATTTATGGTAGAGATGGCTCATTCCAGTAAGAACTATTGTTAAAGCTTAACAGATTAGACAACATTAACATGAGCCCAAAGAGCCACACAATTTATGGGCAATGTCCACTAAGACCTCCAGTCATCCCTTCATTTTTGAGCTGCACTGGATCATTCTTGGCTATATATACATCTTTAAAGGTGAGCTCCAGTTTGTGTTCCAGTATTACTTCTATCACTGGTGGTCAGTCTCCCTGCTGCCTGCTGTGTCTGAGCACTCAGTGGAATGATATAAGCAGCAGTGAGTTACACAGGCAGAGTATGGCTGGGTATCATCATTTTGAAGATGCTGGCTGTGTTAAGAGTACCCTCACAGCCAGATTTGTCAAAGAGGGTCAATGGGCAGGAATGTAAAGACCAGTTCGCTTTAGTGTGCGTCTAACATGTGCAAAGCCCTGGATTTGATCCCAATGACTGTATAATATGTGCCCATTGTGGCACACTTCTGTAAACCCAATTCTTCAGAGCTAGAGTGAGGAGAACCATAAATTGAAACTCATCCTTTTATACATAGGGATTTTCAGCTTGATCTTTCATTAGAGGTATTTCTATAGGTTTAAAATAATGGTTAGGGAGTGAACTTGACTCACTTGCCCCATAGAGTCTGTGGATAGAAGAGTGTGTAGAAACTAGACTTCGATGAGTCGAGCAGAGCAGGTATGGTGCACACTTGGTGCTAATATAGACTCTGCCCTTCTAGCTACATTTGTCTGGGTTGTCCATATAGTGGCTGAGGATATTTGTCATCTAGAAAGCCATGTGCATACTTACCACCCAAATACCAGACTGCTTTTCTTACCTGGTCATGTTGAAGACATCAAGGAAGGCTTGGCCAATTGAAGGGAAGTTTCATTTTTGTCAAACCATCATGCAATAACATGATATAGAATGATTTGGACTCTGAGTATTTCTAAGGAATATACTCGAATCTATAATCTCTCAGTGTGGTTCCCTGGCAATCAAAATTAGTCAGTGGGAGGGATATGACAGGTTGAAGATGCAGGAGAAGGGTCACATATTGGTACTAAGCCAGTGCCTTCTACTCCAGTTTTGAGTCAGGGATTGGAAGGTAAAGAATCTCTCTCTCAGGCTGCTTCTGTCGGGTTTGGTCACAGTGACAGGAGTGTAACTAATGTGGTACCTGAAGGTGAAAAAATGGGAGTGCACACAGTTTTTTTTTTTTTTTTTTGTTTTTTCGAGACAGGGTTTCTCTGTGTAGCTTTGCGCCTCTCCTGGAACTCACTTTGTAGCCCAGGCTGGCCTCGAACTCACAGAGATCCGCCTGGCTCTGCCTCCCGAGTGCTGGGATTAAAGGCGTGCGCCACCACCGCCCAGCTAGAGTGCACACAGTTTTTACTTCTCAGTCATCTAAGGCCATGCCATATGTTCTCTGTGAGCTACAAGTACCATAGGTAAATAAAGAGTGAAAGTCAGCAACAGCCACCTTCCCATGCTGGATGCAATGGATCGCTCTAAATTCAGTCCCTATCTTCTAGCTGAATTCCTCTGGTATTTAACAAACATCATTGGAGTATTTCTGCTGTACATGTGCCTTTCCTTATGATTTACCATTTGTAGTTCCCTTTTAGACTAGAAAGTATCATGAGAAGTCCTTCTGAAACTTCCAGTGTTTGGAGAAAAGCATGGAAGAAAGGGGAATCGTATGAACAACAGTGTATTCATGTGATTGTCAGAAGGAAGAGCTCCCATCTGGCACCAAACCCATATAACATATTCAGTCCTGCTGCTCCTTCTGTATTGCACCAGCCACGTAAATGCAGACAGTACTTATAGTGTCTTTATACTGCTTAATCACAAAATGTGGTGATCTTCCACAAGCAACACTCTGACACTGATGACTAACTGGAACGGGAAATTAGACCATATTTACAAACACACAGCCATGATTAGTTTTCTGGTTTTCTGCCGTAAACTAACATAACTCTCCCTGTTGTGACTACATTCCCAGTTACTTCAATCTTTAAAAGATTTTATAAGAAGAAGTCTGTCATTCCTGAAGTTATGGAGGAACCTCCAGCTGCTCCAGCTGCTCCAGCTGCTCCAGCTGATCCAGATATTGTGAACACATCTGAAGAAATATTACAAACCCAAAAGAAAGGTACTGTACATATTGAGACTTTGCTTCCATTATATGTAGTAGTCAGTTATCCTCTGTGCCGTATGTAAAACTGAACAAATTTACCGGAACTTTCACTATCTGAAATATATCAGTGTATCCATCTCATCCCTAGAAATACGACCATAGAATTTTAAGATGTATTTAAAAAAATTAAATAAAAATAAAAGTCACTTTGGCTCTCGCTGAATAACATGAACTAGAGGAAAGCTGGAGCACATGTATAAGTTGATGTAGCTTCACCTGATGTGGGCAGGAACAGGTGAGTCACCCTATCTGCTACTTAATCCACATGTGGGTGACATAGATGGATTAGATCTCAAGAGTCCCCAAAGTACAAGTGAAATTTGAAATATGTAACAGTCTTCTTGGCCAGGTTCAATGGGAAAGGGTCCCAGTAGTGGCCATGTCACACCCTGTGCTTGCGAGTGTGAGAGAGCAGGAAAGAGATCTGTAAGTACAATGAAAATGGGAGGTTCCTGTGCTTTTCCTCTTTTGGAAGCAAATGATCCATTTTATAATTCCATAAAATATATACAAACTATCAAAGAAGCACAACCATGTCCTCTGAAAAAGACAGATGATCTTTACCTCAGCCATCTTTCCAGGCTGTCAAATGTTTACATGGCAAGCCATGGCATCTGGCATAATTCCCTGTTTGGAGCAATTCCAATTATACATTTTTGTTTGACTATTTGTGTATATATTTAATCTTATAATTTTCCATTTAGCCTTTTCAAACATCCTCAGTGTGTCCCTCCTTGGTTCTACTCTGCCATCCCTTTCCCCACTCAGATCTCCCTCCCTTTACTCCTCCCTTTCCCTTCACGTCACCTGTGTTCTCCCGTGACCCCCTTAATATCTTCCTTCCTCCTTACCAATTAATGTTCCCTTTCTAGTCTCCTGAACTCTATAGTTCTCCAAGTTAGTATCGAAATCTTAAGTTTCACACTAAGATCAGATGAATATTATGATAATGTCCTTTTAAAGCTACCAATTAGAAACTTTGAGTTTTAGTAGCACATTTCCACATATTTCATGTTTTCAAACATACCTTATGGTTTTTTTTGTTAATCAGACATTGCTATAAAATGGTTTTGACTACCTTGAAATTGATTATTGCTCCTGTGTGTTTTAAATCTTCAGTTTCTTTAGTGACTTTGTGAATGAATTGTTTACAGTGATTATTCTCTTCCTCATGTGTTTCTGGGGGTTTTCTGTAATAGTGAATTAGTGATTGGAGTGAGTTTTAACTGCATACAACCAACAAGTATACTGTCTTTGTCATGGGATTCTACTGGTCTGTGGGAGAGAGCTTCAATACACTGGAGGGTACAGAATTCTTAGTTTAACCTTCCTATGTGAACAGAACTTCAATGTCAATGGGAAAATAAAGCCTCATGTCTTCATTGTTCAGAACCGTGTGTGTCTGTGTGTGTGTGTGTGTGTGTGTGTGTGTGTGTGTGTGTGTGTGTGTCTGTGTGTTTACATTGTCCTCCATTTGTGTGAACCTTGGATTAACCAAAAGAATGTAGGAAGTGTGTAAATTATCTCCATGATACTCATTTTATTGTGATTTCATTTTATGGAATGTTTGCCCCAGAATATACCTATTACCACAGGAAAACACTGGAAAAACATGGTCTGCCGATGCTTTTAGCAGATGATTTGGGAAAGTGCTTTCTACTCCAAAGAGAAAAATTACATAGCTCTATTAGTCTACTCTAAAAATAATGTCTATTCCAGAGAAAAGCTGTGCTGCTCCAACACAACAGCATTTAAGGTTTTCCTTTCCCTGGGATGTGACTGACCCTTTGTGGCTCATGCATTGAACTAGGGAGTGGAACATGGTGCCACTAGAGGTTAAAATGCTACATGGTTCATTGAATTATGTCCTGGATTGCTGTGAGCCTTGTTTTGTTTCCAGTATTCTGAGGTACCCAGATGTGCTGCTGAGGGGACACGTTATCATGGTCTTTATTTTCTCCTGTTCACCAATACCACTTCATAAGCCATATTCCTTTTGGTACCCTGGAGAGCGTGTACTAGATGGCAACTTAGCATAAATTAAAACTCACATTGTTTCTTGGTTTTAGAAGACCATCCGTCTGGTCTTCAAGTGATTGATAGGAGTAATGGGAAGCTTGTACCATTGGAGGACGATCTTACTGTCTTCTATTCCCATCAGCACACTGCAAGTGTTCCATTTTCCATTTCTTCCCTGCTTCTCGTTGACTCAGTGTCTTCAATGAGGATGCTCCAGCAGCCACTTGGTCTAGCCTTGAGAGCATAGCCATACATATAAGCCTGTTGTGTAAGCTAAGCACTGTTCTCTAAGGAAGCCATGGCCCACAGTACCAGTGATTAACAGTCACTCTGTCTTCCTAGATACTAAGAATGCTCCTGGTATTAAACCGTTATTTTCTAAAGATGAAGAGTTTGACCATCCTAATGAGGTAAGGTGAACTTTCTATGACTGAAATAGAAATGTTGCTGTCTGACTTTCCTATTTCATTTGAGTTTGGCTATTAAAATATGACAGTGTATATTATATATACTATGCTGTGTTTTCTGGAATAGTAGAACAGTTCCTTGCCAATGGACACCTTATGAGAAAGAGCATTTGTGAATGGCACAGTCAGGGTACAGAATAGATGCTATCACCTGTCCCTCTGGAAAACAATGCTTCTTCTTTAGATTATTTTGTGGTTGGTGACTGAAGGAGGGTTAGAGATACATCATTCTGGAAACAATCATAGGTTTGTCACAGATATATCTTATTTTTGTTTTGCCAGCCACTCATGTTGGCAGTGATTGCCATGCTTTTTCAATACTGACAAAGAAAAATAAAGGCTACACAACTGTCTCACCATGCAAAGGGCCTAGTCCAGTCCCATGTAGGCGCCACAGCCATTGATCCAACTTTCATGAGTTCCCTCTAGTTTGTTTGGTCGTCCCTGCATGTTTCCCCATCATGATCATGATGCACTTGCTCATAGTATTCCTCTTCTCTCTCTCTCTGACTGGACTCCTGGAGCTCAGTCTAGTGATTGGCTGTGGATCTCTACATCTGCTTCCATCAGTTGGAGAAAAGTTCTGTGATGACAGGGTATTCATTGGTCTGATCTCTGGGGCAAGCCAGTTCAGTTCAGGCACCCTCTCTACTATTGCTAGTAGTCCAGGCTGGGGTCATCTTGGGGATTCCTGGCAACTTCCCTAGCACCGGGTTTTTCTCTATCCCCATGATGTCTCTGTCTATCATGGTATCTCTTTCATTGCATTCCCCCTCCCTGTTCCAGCTCAACCATCCCATTCCCTTATGCTCTCATCCCCTATCCCCTACCCTTTATTGCCCACTCCTCATACCCAGTTTACTCATGTAGATCTCATTTGTTTCCCCTTCCCAGGGCAGTTCATGTGTCCCTCTTTGGGTCTTCCCTGTTAGTTAGCTTCTCTGGAGTTGTGGGTTGTTGCCTGATTACCCTTTGCTTTGTATCTAGTATCCACTTATGAGTGGGTACATACCAAGTTACCATCTCTGGTGCATGAGCGGGCTTTGTGGAGCCCACTACCTATGATGGAACACCTCGTGCAGCCGTGAGGCAGGGGGAAGGACTTGGACTTGCCTCTACTGAATGTGCCTCCACATGGGAGGACTTGCCTTCTTGTGGGAGGAAGTGAGGAGTGGATTGGGAGGGGAGGCTGGGGGCACGGAAGGAGGGAAGAAGAGGATCTTTGATTGGTGTGTAAAATGAATGGAAAAAATTTCTTAATAAAAAAAAAGGCATGTGCCTATATGTCCCATGATGTTACCCTCAAAATGTCTTTGTTTCTGTAATTTCAGGGAGCCTTGGAAGAACACCAAAGTTGTAAGTATTGTTTAACTCCTTGGTGAGGAAAAATGTAAATGTTAAGATAGGTAGGGTGTCCCTTACTGTCTTCTCTTTGAAAGGCCACCCAACTTGCTGTTTCTGGAGAGAGCAAAGGAGTCAACATGACTTTTTAAAGGTGTTCTAGATACCCTTGACAGCCAAGTTTCTGCATAGATTTCCATGAGGCTGTGTGCATAAAGAATATTAGGGTTTCATGTGCTTCAATGTCTTATTTCCCTGTGTGGGTAATGGTCTATGGAGTACATAGTTCATGCCACCACACATACTTTAAATGAACTTTATATTTTATTAGTTCATCTGGTCTTCATGACATTTGTGCTTGGGGATTGTTATAACCTCTGCTTCAGAACAAAAAATGAAGAATCTCTGATCAAAGTCAAAAGCAGAAAGTTAAAACATGAATCCATCTGGGCAATCCATTGCTCTTGCTTCCATGGTTGAGCCTTAAATTTATTTAAGAAAATTTTGAGAGCATTGTCATCAGGGCTGAGGGTTTACCATGTGGTTCAGAGATGCTGCCTGTCCATGACAAATTGCCTCCATGTCATGTTAACTGCATATTAAACTAGACCACATCCACAGATGCTTGAAATCACTCATGTGAAAAATCCAAAGACTCCCTACTGTGTCTGGTCATTTCACACAGACCTTTGGAGTTAAAAGCAATCATGAAGGACAAGGTGACTTACTTCTGTAGATTTTGGACTCATGTCTTAGAAGCTGTCCCAAAACAAAACAAACAAACAAACAAAAACAACTGAAATATTATAGTACACTTTCTAATAGCACTATGAGCAATAAGATTTTCCAACCCAGCTTGTCAGTAACCAAAGAAGATTCAGTTGAGCAGCCTGTGCAGTTCTGAGAAACACCTGTTGGTGACACATAGCAAGTGTTAACAATCACACATACTGTGCTTTGAAACTTTTTGTTTTTTGAAATTAAATTATATCATTTTCCTCTTTCCTCCCTCTGACCATCCCCATGTGTCACCCCCTTTCTTCCTCGAATTTATGACCTCTGGCCTCCTTTCCTCCAACTGTAGATTGTAGTTACATATGTCTGTGTGTGTGTGTGTATGTGTGTGTGTGTGTGTGTGTGTGTGTGTGTGTGTGTATGTGTGTGTGAGAGAGAGAGAGAGAAAGAGAGAGAGCATTTTGTGAACGTGTGTGTATTCCTAAATATATAGATACAATCCACTCTTTCCATACAATGTTATCTGTATTATGAGATTTCAGAGCTGACCAGTTGTTGTTGGAAAACCAATTGGGCTGTTCCCAGGGGAAGAGGATTTTTTTTCTCCCACTCTCCGCAGTGTTGGTTGCAGCACTAATGTTCTAGATGGAAGGTTCAGGTCAGGCCCCCCATAGTCACCTGTTCTCTGTATTTTTATTTGTTGTGGTTTTCTGTTATGATTTCATTCTGTTGCAAAGAGAAATTGTTCTGTTGGATGGTAAAAGCTACACTGACCTGTGAGTATAAGGATAAATATTTAGAATACAGTTAGAAATTATGCTGCTTTAGTGTATTATTTTTATTTTGAGACAGGGACACATTTATCACAGGCTGCCTCTCTCTCACTATATGGTTGAAGCTGAGCCTGGTCCTCCTTCCACTACCTCCTGAATGCTGGGGTTATAAGTATATGCCACAAAGTGTGAATCAGCTAGATTTATTTTATATTGTATTTATTTTATATTATATTTATTTAGATTTGAGCTCCAGTACCCATATAGCTGCTCACAACCATCTGTAACTCAGTTCCAGGGTACCTCATACCTTCTTCTGATCTTGGCTGGCATTATATGCATGTGATACACAAGCATTCATATGCAGGCAATGCAAATGAAATAAACTTAAAAATAAAAGTATAAGCTGGGCGGTGGTGGTGCACGCCTTTAATCTCAGCACTGGGGAGGCAGAGGCAGGCGGATCTCTGTGAGTTCGAGGCCAGCCTGGTCTCCAAAGTGAGTTCCAGGAAAGGTGCAAAGCTACACAGAGAAACCCTGTCTCGAAAAACCAAAAAAATAAATAAAAGTATGGTCTTCACCGGAACACCCATTCTTCCTGCCTCTGTCACTGCCAAAGTTCCTAGCCATCGGTTGTAATTAGTAGCTTTCCTTGGAAATTGTGTGTATTCTGATGTAGTCTGGAAATATATGTAAGCTGGTGCTCACTTTTGATTGGTGAGTTGTGATAGAAGAAACTGTCAGTGGATCACAACTCTCAGTAGTCAGTGACATGAACCTGAGTACAAAGGTCTTGTAGTGTGGGCCCAATAATGCAGAAGTGAATCCTCTTCCGGCTGGTCCTGCAGGACTTGTAACAGTACGTCCATGTTTCCATTCAGTCTTCTTTTTCCTTAAAATCTTGAAGTGCCTACTTCTATCTATTCATTTGTTTGTTTGTTTGTTTATTTATTATATATACAGTGTTTTACCTGCATGTATGCCTCTGTGCCAGAAGAGGGCACCAGATCTCATTATAGATGGCTGTGAGCCACCATGTGTTTATTTTGGAATTGAACTCGGGACCTCTAGAAGAGCAGCCAGTGCTGTTAACCTCTGAGCCACCTCTCCAGCCCCCATTCAGTCTTTATATCAAGGGCAATCTATGGGTGGGTGGCAGAGTGAGTAGACTGGCCTCGCTGAATCACCTTCCATAACCTAAGATGTCAAGGAACCAGTGGGAACCTGAGGCTGATCTGGTGTGAGCTGATGTGGCTGTATCTTCTGTAGGCAGAATGAGCCACTCTGTTGCTTTCTTCCAGGTGCTTCTGAAATGGAACTATGGGAGCTGAGGAAATTACCAAGTCCCTTATGTCCAGGTAGGTAACAACATTGCATTCTGGGTCTACTCTGTCATGTGGACAAGGTGTCAGTGGGGACAGGGACAGAAGGAAGGCTGTGTGTGAGCTCATTTCCAGCCTGTGCTCCTCACACTAGACTGACCTTTAGGGCGAATGAGTCAAAGGACACATTGACACCTATCTTGGAGCTTCTGACCTAGTACTTGAGCATGGATCTAGGACTCTGTGGTTCAGATAAGGCCTCCTTTCCAGATATTGCTAGTTCATCATGGATGCACAAAATCCCAGGAATTAAAGTGCATGGCCACTTGTATTTTATCTCTTGAGTCCTCTCTGACTTATCCTCTGTATGTCTGAACCTCAGTTTCCTGCCCTGTCTTATCAGATCACCTTGCCATGTCTTGCTGTGTGTTCTGTACTCTAAGCGGGCTGGAACTGATACAGCTTCATGCTTAGTATAGTTCTCACCTGTCTCCACTGGTCTAGAGTATGAATCAAAGGAGAGTATATTCCCCCAATGTCTTTTATGGAACCCCTGCAGCAGGGTGAGGGTTTTTCTTCATTGCAAAGTATGTCTGCCTGCCCTGTATTCTTCTACTTCTGATGCATTGATTCTGCCTTGTGTAAACTCAGGGACTCCTCTTTCTAATCAATGTGTCCACAGCAAAAAAGGAGCCCACTTCACTGGCCACATCATTTGATCACTCTTCTGTCCTTTACCCAGAGCCTTCTCCACCCTCCTCCCTATTTCCTGAGTGGAATGGGGACTCTTCTCTTTATGCCTAGTAATCCATGAAATTGTGTCCCTGCTGCCTTATTCCTGATTCTGCATACTGAGTTGATTGGCCCACCTGATCGGACCTAACCATCCATCATGGATCCCTGGATTCATTCATGTTTTATGCATGTGTACCCAGTTGTCTTCCCCTTCCCTTGAAATGTGACCTCACCTGAGTCCTTTACAGAGTTTATGGGACAACCAAAATCCCAATAGGAAGTGTATACAATGGGACATTGCTTAGGGACATGCCCAGCTAGATACAATTGAGTCTTAACAGGTCATCTGGTCACACCATTACTTGTGGAAAAGAGGTGAAGTGCTGTTCTTGCCTAGCTGAGGAAAGCAGGGGAGCTGAACAGAGTGGGAACAGGGATGCTTAGCACAGCACAGTTAGCAAGCAAAGCTTTGTTTCTGATGTGAAAGGAGACCCAAGGGAAACATCCAAAAGTTACAAACAACAGAACAACAGCCAATAGAAAATTGTCCCAAACAATGTTGTTAGCATGGATGGTGGCACCTGTGGGAGCAGTCACTCACCTAGGATGGTCAACTTGGTCCCTGCAAGAAATACCCAGCAATGTCCCAGAGCTTTGTTGTGGTGGTATTGTGTTCCCTAAAATATTATGTACCCTAATAAACTTATCTGGGGTCAGAGAACAGAAAAGCCACTAGATACTTAGGATAGGTAGTGGTAGCACATGCCTTTAATCCTAGCATTCCAGAGGCAGAAATCCATCTGTTCAAGGATACAGCCAAGCATGGTGACTCACACCTTTAATCCCAGAAAGCAAGCCTTTAATCCCAGGGAGTGATGGAAGATAGCAGAAAGGTATATAAGGCGTGAGGACCAGAAACTAGAAGCATTTGGCTGGTTAAGCTTTTAGGTTTTGAGCAGCACAATTCAGCTGAAAGCCATTTGGATATGAGGACACAGAGGCTTCCAGTCTGAGGAAACAAGAGCAACTGAGAAGTTGGCCAGGTGAGGTTAGCTGTGGCCTGTTCTGTATCTGTGATCTTCCAGCTTCACCCCACTACCTGGCTCACAGGTTTGATTTTATTAATAAGAGTCTTTAAGATTCCTGCTACACTTTGTGCCATGACTCCTTCCCTATTTTGAACCTATTCCTACTCTATCCCTAGAGATACGAGTGCTGTACCAAGCCCCACCTCAATCTTCAGATGAAGATATGCTTGAAGAGGAGGAGGAGGAGGAGGTGGCAGAGGAGGAGTCAGAGGCAGAGGAAGAAGAGGAGGAGGAGGAGGTGGTAGAGTTGGAGGCAGCAGGGGAAGAGGCAGAGAAGGAGGAAGAAGAGGAGGAGGAGGAGAAGGTGGAGGAGGCGGCAGCGGCGGCGGTGGCGGTGGCGGTAGCGGTGGCGGCAGCGGTGGCGGCAGTGGCGGAGGAGGCAGAGGAAGAAGAGGAGGAGGTGGTAGAGTTGGAGGCAGCAGGGGAAGAGGCAGAGAAGGAGGAAGAAGAGGAGGAGGAGGAGAAGGTGGAGGAGGAGGCGGAGGAGTCAGAGGAAGAGAGAGGAGGAGGAGGAGGTGGTAGAGTTGGAGGCAGCAGGGGAAGAGGCAGAGAAGGAGGAAGAAGAGGAGGAGGAGGAGGAGGGAGAGGAAAAGCTACTACTGATAAAAATATAATGCCTATAATCATGTATTAAATGTTTTTTGTTTTTATTTCTATGTCTCTGAGTATGCCCACTGGAGTCACCCCTCCAGGGTGTGAAATTCCCTGGAGCTGTTGTGATAGACAGTTGTGACCCATCCTATGTAGCTACTTAGAACTGAGCTCCAGTTCTCTGTAAGAGTAGCAAGCACACTTAGCTACTGAGCCATCTTTCTAGTACTCAAATCTCTATCTTGAAGGCACATTTGATATTTTGATAGTATCCATCCACAGATACAGATAGGTTTAAAAGCACTCCCTCAGAATACCTCTCACACCTAAGACAGGAGGTGTGGATGTCTCCAAGAGGAGTATATCATCCCTGAACATCCCCTTGTAGTACACCCGGGTCCTGGAGGTCAACATAGGCAAAGTTCCTCTGGAGACACCTCAGAACCTCACTGGGTAGCTGGGGAGCCTAAGATAGCAAATTTCAATGGTGCTCCTTCAGAGGCTGGGCTTGTTCCCTGGGGTGCCCTCCAGATCTCCAGTCCTTAGATAAAAGTGACAAAGGCCCTCCCCCGCCACATGACTGAGGGGACCTGCTTCAGTGGCTTCAGGCTTTGAATATGGCCCACCAGACCAAAGCCCTTCCTTGAAGGGTCCTGTGTACCCTCAACAGGTCCTAGACACTGTAGGGTTGGGTGCCCACTGAGAGGTCATCCTCACTGGTTGAGCCAAGCAAGTGTGGTGAGAGCTAATCCAGTTGCCTGCGAGAAACTCATGTCTAGGGCCAAAGATCACATGGGCTACCTGTATGATGCCTCTGAAAGAAGCCCAGGGATTAGCAAAGAAACCCAGTGTTGCAGCACAAATTCTAATTGATCTTAATAATAATAATAATAATAATAATAATAATAATAATAATAACCCAGAGTCAGATGTCATGGTGAAAGCTGAAAGATAAGAAGCAGAGCAGCAAGCCACTAGAGTTCTTACCTCTACAAAATCATCAGACTGAAAGGGGACTGGGTTCCTGTCTCCTCCCACCTTACATTCTTCTCTCCACCCAGCCATATCACTTCATGTCTTCACCTCCCTAGTGCTGGGATTAAAGGCTTGAGATCCCAAAAGCTGACATCAAAGGTGTATGTCACCACTGACTGGCCTCTATGGCTAACTAGTGGCTGGCTTTGCCCTCTGATCTTTAGGCAAGCTTTGTTAGAGCATACACAAAACATCATCACACAGTGTGCTAAAGGAAGCAGATTCTGAGTACACAGCTGACTGCTTAGGTTCATGGCCTGGAACATGGACATCCAGAATCCACCCAGGAAGAGGTTTAGCCCAGTTTTACAATACCTAGAAAACTACAAGTTCCAGCATAGTCAAATGCTGCTGTTAGGGCAAGTTGTCTTCTTCACAGAAGTCTTTTCTTATAGAAGCTCAACTTAAGATTGCAGCCTGGCCCCAAGAGATCACAAAAACTCTCAACATACTGACTGATCTGGAAGCTCACACAGTTGTCCACACCTGTTCAGGTAAGAAGGTAAATCAGGATGTACTCTGTCCTCAGAGCCAGAAGAAGAGAGCAGGCCCAAAGACCCATGAACAGACACTAGGGAGGCTGGGATAATTTGTGCATAGATCTCATGACTGGCAAGGCTCAGAATGACTTTGAGCTCATCATCTATGTCACTGAGTGAGAGACTTGAGACATAGGTAAGACTCTCCTCATGCATCTTCTACACCATGGTGCCTTTGCCATTGATCATCAACCTCTGGGAAGGTGGCCTTGGAGGTAAAGCTTTTTACTAGGTCAGCAATCTGGATTACACAGAAGAGAGCCAAGAGTGTTTGGCATGGACATCATATTTATCATCTTCAGAGCCTGATAAGGAGCAGACTCAATCCCTCTTCCCCAATCCATTGTCTAAAAGGTCTGTCTAAAAGGATGGGAGTATATTGGTCAGGTGGTTTGAAAAGTATGAATTGGCAAATCTTCACTTCTTCTGCTCCACCAGATTCAGTCCACCCAGACTCAACCCCAACTCTGTTACAGAACACCTGCTGCAGTCTCCCCTTCTTCTCTGACCCCATCCCCAGTGGACCACAAAGACCTTTTCCTACAACCTTCCTTCCCCCAACTCATCCCATTATTTCAAGCTCCAGTACCACCAGCAGGCATTCATTTGAAAAACAGGCCAGGTGAACAGTCCAGGGAAACAGCCCTGCAACCATACCACTGTAGACAGACTTTTCTTTCCTGCCCACCAGTTCCCAAATACCTGACATGGAGACTTAATATAAATTATACATGCTTGGTTGATAGCTCAGGCTTATTACCAACTAATTCTTACAAACTTAAATATACCCATTTTTATTAATCTATGTATTGCTACATGGCTCATGACTTTACCTGTCCTCCAGTATGTCTTCTTCCCTCTGTATTTCCCGGAGACCTCTCAGACCCTGCTCTCCTTCCCAACATTTTCTCTGCACTGAAAATCCTGCCTCGCTATGGATCAATCAGCTTTTTATTTACAATGAGAGCAATGCATATTTACAGTATAGAAAGATTATTCCATGGCGTACCAAAACAGGCCCTGAATATTCCAATTTAGCTGAAAGCACTAGAGAAAAGATCTTAAAACAGTCTGTATGAAGATGATAGAGGTCCTTAAAGAAGAAATTAATAAATCCCTTAAAGAAGTCCAGGAAAACAAACAGTGGAAGGAAATGAATAAGTTCCTTAAATACAGGAAAAGACAAATGGAGGAAGAAAATGAATAAGGCAATTCAAGACCTGAAAATGAAAATAGAATCGACAACAACAACAACAAACCAAACAGGGAATTCTGTAAATGAAAAACTTAGAAATTTGAAAAGAAACCACAGAGGCAGGCTTCAGTGACAGAATACAAGAGAGGATGAGAAAATATCAGGTGTTGAAGGTATGATAGAAGAAATTGATACATCAGTCAAAGAAAATGGTAATTCTAAAAAACTGCTGACAAAATATCCAGGAAAGATGGGACACTATGAAAAGACTAAATCTAAGAATAATAGGAATAGAGGAAGGAGAAGAAACCTAGCTCAAATGCCCAGAAAATATTTTCAACCAAACCATAGAATAAAATTTTCCTAACCTAAAAAAGGAGATGTGAATAAAAGGTACAAGAAGCATACAGAGCACTAAACAGGTAGAACCAGAAAAGAAAGTCCCTCTCAGCACATAATAATCAGAATACTAAATATATAGAACAATAAAAAAAAATGTTAAAAGCTACAAGGGAAAAAGACGAAGTAACATAAAGGCAGACCAATTAGGATTATACCTGACTTTTTCATGGACACTCTAATAAAAGCCAGAAGAGCCTGGACAGATATTCTACAGGCTCTGAGAGACCACAGATGCCAGCCCAGACTACTATACCCAGCAAAACTTTCAATCACCATAGATGGAGAAAATAAGATATTCCATAATAAAGCTGTGGTGGTTTGAAAGAGAATGGCCCCAAAGGGATTGGCACTATAAGGAGATGTGACCTTGGTGGAGTAGGTGTGGTCATGTTGGAGGAAGTATGTCACTGTAGAGGCAGGGTTTGAGGCCTCATATGTGCTCAAGATATCGCCCAGTGTTTCAGATCACTTTCTGTTGCTTGCAAGATGTAAATTCTCAGCTACTTCTCCAGTACCATGTCTGCCTGCATTCTACCATGATGATAATGGACTAAACCTCTGAAAACGTAAGCAAGTCATCTCAATTAAATGTTTTCCTTTATAAGAGTTTCTGGGTCATGGTGTCTTTTCATAGCAATAGAAACCCTAAATAAGACAAAAGCCAAATTTAATCAGTATTTACCTACAAATTTAGCTCTATAGAAGGTGCTAGAAGGAAAATGGCAACCTAAGGAGGTTAACTACAACCATGAAAACATAGGGAATAATCTCATACCAGCAAGACGAAAAGAAGGTAAAACACACATACACACACAAACACACCACCACCACCACCAACAACAACAACACAACAGGAATCAACAATCATTGGTCATTGATATCTCAATAGCTGTGATCTCAACTGCCCAGTAAAGGGCATAGACATCAATAGAATGGATATGAAAACAGGATCTATCCTTCTGTTGCATTCAAGAAACACACCTCAAAACCAAGAATAGACATTCCCTCTGAGTAAAGATTTGAAAAAAGATATTCCAACAAATGAACCTAAGAAGCAAGGTGGTGCAGCCATTTTACTATCTAACAAAACAGACTTCAAACCAAAACTAATCAGAAGGGAAAGGACACTACATACCCATCAAAGGAAAACTCCACCAAGATAACATTTCAATTCTTAACAACTATGCCCCAAACACAAGGGCACCAAAGTTTGTAAAAAGCAACACTACTACAGCTTATATCACATATTGACCCTCATGTAGCGACAGTGTGTAACTTCAATACCCCACTCTCACCAATATGCAGGTCATTCAAACAAAAACTAAACAGGGAAATACTTGAGCTAACAAATGCTATAAACTAAATAGATCAAACATGTTTATAGAATACTTCACCCAAATTAAAAAGAATATACTTTCTCTGCACCTCATTGAACTTTCTCCAAAACTGACCACATGCTTGGACACAAAGCAAGTCTCAACAGATACACAAAAATTGAAATAACTCACTGCATCCTATTAAGCCACCACAGAATAGAGGTTGATATCAACAGAAGGCTTACAAACTCATGGAAACTGAACAATACTACCAAATGAAAAATGGGTCAAGACAGAAATAAAGAAATTAAAGACTATATTAGAGTTTCTATTGCTGTAAAGAGACACCATGACCATGGCAACTCTTTTTAAATAAAAACATTTAATTGGGGATGGTTTACAGTTCAGAGGTTTAGTTGATTATCATCATGGCAGTAAGCATGGTGGCACACAGGCAGACATGGTATTAGAGAGGTAACAGTTCTACATGTGGTTTGGCAGGCAGCAGGAAGAGAGACAGACACTGGGCTTGGCTTGTACTTCTGAAACCTCAAAGCCCAGTGGAACACTTC